CTCAGAAATGCAGTCTGTGGTCGTAAAGCAAACAAAGACAACACACAATTCACAACTGTCCCAAGATACCACGTTTGTTCCCGCAAATGCCCCACCCCACAGTGTCTCCTTAAATCCTAATCCCCAGGTGTGCCTTGTGGAGTGGGGCAGGATGCTCTCCTCCCGAGCAATTGAGCCTGCCTACGTTATTCTCCTCTCTACTCTCCTTGCTCTAGCATCAGGTGGGGGGGCTTGTTCCTCACCTGAACTTTGCCTCCCCTGTTCAGAACCTGAAGGGCCCTGGCCTGCCTCAGCCTGCTCTTCCCTACAGTCCTCCGAAGCCAAAGACACCTCCTCCTGGGCCTCAACAGGGTCCTGCTCTAGGAGGCATGACAGATGTGTGTGCATTTTGGGGTTTAGCATGTGTATAAGTATTTGAGTGTTATCTCTGATTTCATTAAAAATGCGAATCCTGGGTAAAGTCATACTATAAAAACAAATAAAAACGAACACCAGGATAAAATTTAAACTAAAAACGTTTAATCTAATGCTAAGCTTTCATCGGTCAGCACTACCGACATCATCAGGGCTTAAAATAGGTCGATGGGAGTCTCTTTTTTATAGCACTGGCCAGTTTTTGCACACGACTCCTGGACCTCGTCATCGGTCCATCCGATGATCCTGATTGTTTGATTTTTGGGAGGCACACATTGGCTGTTTTCTTGGTGTTTTTTAGGGGTGCTGCTCCATTGTTCACTTCCCTTACTCCATCCTCCCCTCCTGTGTGCGCGTTACCATCTGCTGCCCCACCACAGGCTCCCAAAGGCAGCGTGTTCATTCACCCCCTTTTTTGGACATTCGTTTCCTTCGTACATATCCAGTTGTTCACTATCCTCCTATTGAGCCTCAGGCTTGCTGTCTTTCCCTCCCCCTTTCCTTCCATAGTCTTTCTCATGTTTCCATAAACATACTCTACATCTTTGTTATTTCCTATAGCCCCTGCTCCTTCCTCCTCCCCTTTTGTGATGTTTTTCATTCGTATTACTCCAATCGCCACATTGTAACTCTTGTTCTAGTTCGTTTCTCTCATTCGCCCTGGATTGTGTTCGTTCTCTCCTCATGGGGGTGTCACTGCACTGTGTGTTTGGTTCTGCCCCTCTACTCTTGTCATTCATCCCTGCCTTGTCAGGTCCTGGGTTTGCTGTTCTTTCCTCCCCCCTTTTTCTTTCAAACGTCTTTCCCCTGCCTCTGTGGCTGCCCATCCTGTCTCCATTAGCTTCTGGTGTAGCTGTTAGTTCCCCCCCCTTTCTGACATCTGTAGTGTGCGTGTTGTTATGGCCCTCACACTATATGTGACGCTCCAATCCGTTCTCTCCCCTCAATCGCACCCGTTCTTTTGTCGTGGGGCTGTCAGCACGTCGTGCGTTTGATTCCGCCCTCCTGTTTTTGCGCCCCGTTGTTTCTGCGCATATGCGGGTCTTTTTGATGTCATCCGTCAGGTGTGTTCAGGTAT